GATTTGGCATATTGTTTACCATCAAATCCATAATTAAAAACTCACAAGAATGATCTTAGTTTCATCCAACTCCCTCTGGATTTTCAGCAATTTATCAGCTTCTGCAGGGTCCTGAAGAAAATAATAAAACACATCCAGGTTATTTTCAGTGAAAAACTTCAAAATCATATGGTACATAAGCTTCACCCACAACAGAGTAGAATGTTAAAAGAGGAAATGGACAATGGCATTCTATCTTCTAATTTAATTATGAATCAGGATGCAGAGGGGTACCTGAAATTTGGTTAGAGCTTCATTCAAATAGGACCATGGTTGGGTGGAATCTGACTGTACAGTCCTCCAAGATTCTCCAAAGTTCTTCTGGTATTCATCCACTACCTGGGTACCATTAATTTTAGTTTAATTCTTTATTTACCCTTCCAAGCAAAGAAGCAGATATTAAATTTTATGCACCATCTCATATCAGCACCTTAGGAAGAATATACACTTTACATGTACCAACTCTTTAAGCACAAGGTATCATGAAAAATTGACAGACTCATAGTAAGTCAGTAGGCTACAATAAATCACCTCTTAAGTTATGCAAAAATGATATCCTCAATACAATGAAGTGATAAGAAGCATAGGTAAAGTCCTACTAAAATAGAATAGAACCCACCCAGCCAATTCATGAGATTTAGCCTTCAAATTTATCCCAATGAAAACAAGACAAAAGACAGAAAATTCAAAACTACATGCATTACATGCATTTGAGAGGATGTAAATGTTCAAGTGGGATCTCAGGGGCAATTTACAGTTAGAAACTTGATATTAGAGCTGGAAACAGGCTTCCATTGCTTCAAAGCTTTTGGGGCTCTCTAGCTCCATTCAACGGGGGCTTCTTCTTTTGAAGGTTGATACAGTGATTTATTATATATCACCTTGCATGGTGGCAGAAGAATAAAAATGGTTGCCCTATGTTAAGGGATGTAAAGAAAATAGTTATCACCTACTCATTCATTGCAGGACTGCATATTATAGAATAATTTCTTTTTGGATATGTAGGATCCCACCCTCAAACACAGGAGATCTTGGTAGTATGGCAAGTTACTTCTATCACATCCTTCTGTATGTCTTCCATCACTTGAAGAACTAGATATATTGTGAAATAGAAGGCATTGGTTGAGAGTGTAGAAAGTCAGATTTGAAATCAAAATGGTAGGTGGTCCCAGTTGCTAAGGCTCAGTTTGGGAGGAGTACAAATACAAATATTTACAGTGCAAAACCTTGTTTATTGTATTTGTAAACCTTGTTTTGCACAGTACATATTTGTATTTGTAGTCTTCCCAAACTGAGCCTAAAGAAATATTTCCATGTCTCAGTCTCAAACCATGACAAAAACAGGCCAGCCACAATCTGTTTTCTTTTTCTTCTTAATTGTTCACTTCAGTGCCATCAATATGGCAACTAATGATGAAGTTTAGCATCTCCTCTCCTTATTAAGAACAATAATTTTCCACTCCTCTGAAGAGACCTAAACATTGCAAGGCTTGGCCATCAGGAAAATCAAAGTGACCAATGGCTAGAAATGTTAATATGCTGTGTGAGTCATAGAAGCACCATTGAGAAAGCAGATAATTGGCTTATCAAAAGGAAAAACAGAATGAAGACAATTAGAAAATTGAAGTGCTAAGAGACCCTTCTTTTGCACAATGAAGGCAAATTTAATCTTCTCCTTGCAATGTAAAGTTGTAAACACCAATCATCAAAAGGAACAGCTCCAAAGGTTGCCAGCCAATATCAGAGTCAAGCATCTCCAACGAAAACCAAACTTCATGAGAGCAAATGAGCAAAGTATATGGCTATTTCTGCCTTGGCTTCTTTGTGCAAAACTTTAACAGCTCAAGATCTAGCAGACTAGTAGTTGCAAAAGACGGCTGAAGTTGAACTCACAAAACATAATAGATAACACAGATGAACATGTATAGAAAACTTCTCTATGATTTTAGTACGCAAAACTAAGCAAACAACCCCAAATAAATTTACCAATGTAGAAAAGATACCATTCCTGCTCATACCTCTTCCATTGAATCCTTTATCAAACTCCTCAAACATGAGCAAAACCAAGGAGTGCATCTCAAATGACATCTGCAATAAATTTAACCTTGGAAGTTCCTATGGATATGAAAATCGAATGGCTGGATGCAGTACCAGATATGATATTTACACTATTGAAGTATCTGACATGATATGGCACCTTTGTACATGCATCCAGTTATCATAGGGAAGTTCCCAATATAGAATTCGCATTGTTCATGTCTCACAAAATTCAAAGGACTCATCTCTTTTGGGTTTTTTTTTTTGATAAACGACTCTTCTCTTTTGTTTCTCATACTAAGTCCAACAATAACATTCAGAAACACCATATCATTAATCCACCAATATTAAGACTACAAGAGCAATAGTCTTTCCTCCTTCAGGCCATTCTATATAAGCATCTTTCTTTTCCTTTATTTTGCTTCTTTAAATTAGTGATAATTCTGTATAAGCCTATGGACTGGGTTTAGATTGCTCCCCATATTGTGGTCTCATTTTATAGTCCTGTTAAAACACCATATAATCCCCCACAAGAAACTTATTCAAGTTGCATCCTCTTGGCAAGTTTGACACGTTATGGTAAGAGGGAGGACATATTAAAGGACCTGCTCTATTTTTACTATTTGCAGCTTATGGAAAGAGTGCAGCTAAGTATCACTCAGAGGAGAAATAGCCATTGGAATCGGTAATCTGCAAAATGAGCAAAATAGAGAGCTAATTGGTTTTCTAGAGTTTCCACTATAGAATATTGCTAGAGTTTCGATTTTTATCACTTCAGGAAACAGATGCTGCTTCTTATGCTTGACTTTCTATTCTGAGTGGTCTATAAATAGCCATTGGGGCTTCTATGCTTGACTTTCTACTGATCTATGAAGAGTTGGACATGTATGTACTGCACATGGTGTTATCAAAGTGTCAACTAGTCAATCAACTAGCCAGTTGAGAACCATATTGACTGCATCACTAACTAGTCAATGAATAACCATGATGCAACCACCGAGGAAGACCTATCAACTAAGTCAACTAATAGCCAGTTTGCCAAGTTGACCACAAACTTATTTTAAAGTTTTCTTTCATCATGCATCATCAAACATGATTGGGTACAATATATAAAATTGAAACAAGAAATAAAATAAAAGAGAAATAGTGAAGGATTTCTTTTAGGCCTTCCTCCAATTGGTAGTATTATGGTAGACAGCTGCCATAAACTATAGGACCACATTAGATGGTCAATGTTGTTTTTGATCTCAGACCATCCAACTTTCCTTTTTATATTTGCAAAGCAGAGGCTTCCATGTGGTCCCACCTATCTGAAGTATTGCATACTTCCAGTCTTTATTAACTAATATCTGATATTGTACCATTCTATCAAATTTAGACATATCACTTTGTGCCACATTGACAACACTGAATGTGTGTTGTTTTCTATCATTAACCATGAAAAGATACACACAGGAAGTCATTGCCTTATTTTTCATTTGGCAACATGTAAGCTCATAATGCATTGCTGGTCCTAGCTATCAGGGGTCTTGGGACAGGTCGACTAGATACAACCTAACATTTGGAAATTATGGTAAGTAACCACTCTCAGACTCAATCCCACATTCTCGTTCTTGTATTAACTTGTAATCACCCACTCATTTAAACAAGAAAAAGAAATGCTTCCATAGAACAATTTCCCCTAGATTCCTCATATTTAGCCAATTGATGAAGTCACTGGTATCACTCTCCTTTTTTTTCAAACAATAATCACTCTCCTTTAGTATTGCATAGATTTACAAATCATCATTAATGCCAGTTAAAATACCACATTGGTACTATGGTACCACTGCCGAATAAATACTTAAGCCAACAAGCAATAGCACCAAAATCTACGAGTAACTCTGACTGAAAATATGGGGAACCATTTGAAGAGAACAATTCTATTGGGATAAACCACCCATGCCTATATTCAGAGTAAGGGAAACCCTAAAAGGTTGCCCAGATTCCTAATGGGAGCACAGCCATGAAGGGACCGGACCAAAAAGAAGGGGTGGTCTCCCAAGCATAGCTCTTTTTTATAGTAAATATAAAATAAATTTATTAAAGGGAAAAATCCAGGTGTATACAAACTCAACTGATAAGGCATCACCGAGAGAAATCATGCTATCCACTTCACTCCACTTACTAACAACACCCTAATACCCAGTTACCCACAACCAAAAATAAGTGACCTATCTTTCCTATGACCTAAGTCCTTCCCCAATCTACCAACAGAAATTTCATAACAACACCCCAAGCTGGATTGCTCATCAACCCATCTTTTTGTCAGATAATGTTATCTTCCAATAGCACCAAGATAAATGAACAAATGCACCTAAGCACCCCTATCCTCTCTTGGTTCTCCTCTGTCTTCAGCTGGTGATGATTTTTTTTATATTTTATTTAAAAAGAGAAGGGATTACATCGAGATTTATAATACAATCCATCCCAATAGGGACGCAAGGTGCGATCCCAACCTACAACAACCTAAATTACAACTGAGCCAAAAAGAGTTCAGACTTATGCACCTCCCAAAGGAAGTCTCTCATCAACTTTTCTAATTTTTGAACTTCCTTCCTAGGAATCCTAAAAACCGACAAGTAGTAGACTGGCAAATTTGCTAGAGTGGACTTTAACAAAGTAATTCTACCTCCTAAAGAAATATAATTTCTCTTCCAAGCTGCCAATCTCTTGGTACACCTCTCCACTGCTGGGTTCCAGAACCTAGTTTCTATTGGATTATCTCCTAAAGGCAAACCAAGATACTTCAAAGGCCAGCACTCAATAGCACAACCTAGAGACTATACTACTGCATTCAGTTCCTTCTACCTCAAGTTTATCCCCACCGACGGCCCTTCTCAAAATTAATCTTCAGCTTGGAGATATATTCAAACAACTTTATCACCTCCATTAAGTGTTTTGCTTTCATAGGATCATGATCACCACCCTCACAGAAAATGATTGTATCATCCACAAATTGTGAGTCACTACCGTGTTATTCCAACCAACAGAAAATGATTCCATTGCCTGGAAAAACCCTCCTTGCTAACACTCCCAACCAATGTTTCAGATTTAGACCATCATGGACCCGGATGGTCAGGCCATTCAACCTGGAAACCAGGCAAAAGCCTAGTTCTATTTACCCTGCAACCCCTTATTTTAAGGAAAATGTGTAATTGGTCAGTAAACAATCAACCCGATCATTTGAACCGAACAACAGATTACAAGCTAATGGTAAAAACATATATTTAAATTAAATTATAGCAAAATAAAAATGAAAG